CGCTAGTTTGCACGTCCAGCTTCATGTGTGGGAATTATTAACGCACAAATGAACAGAGAATTAACACTGAGAACGGGAGTAAAACGCAGCCTTGCGGGAACAATGGCAGCCTTTGTTTGCGTTTGCTGGGGTCTCGGGAGCTTTAAAAAGGTGGCTGTTTCACTGGCCTTTTGATTCCTTTGTCTCCACGTCGGAGCGCTGCAGTTGTGGAAGCTTGATGGAATCTCGGTTTTCCAGGAATTTTGTTTTGAAGTGACGTCATTGGCTTGTTTTTCTCGTCCGGCCACCTTTCGCCTTTGTGGGAGGCAGTCATGTGGCAATAAGTCCCGTTTCATAACAGCGCCCCCATCCTTCCCTCCCTGTTATTTTCCAAATGAGAAGATGACTCATCGAGAACTAAAATTTAGCGGCATGTGAATGTCATTCGACGGAGTTAAAATGTAAAAACAGTAGGTTCAACAAATCTGCGTGGATCTCCAAAACTGGAAGGGGAGTTAAAGAGTGGGAGTATGGGCTTAAAAACCTAAGAGAGAAAAACGCTCATTTGTGAATGAACTGCTGAGCATTTCTGTGGGTGTTTTGGGGGGTTTCCAAATAAATGAATTCCTGAAATGCGTGATGCTGTTAAGTATTTCTTGTAGTGGCAGTTGAAAAGGGTTCAGTTAAACTCTAAATCGCCCCCAAATACACTTGAATAGGGTATGAACCAGTAACCGTTGCTCTTTAAATAATAACAGAACCCAATGATGTTTGGTTCAGTTAATAGTTTGCGCATGTTCATTCTTCCGCCAAAACAGTGTAAACTACTCTGCCAGAGTTTCGTTCACAGTACTCAATGGCGCCGCAACACCGAATGACTGAGGCTACGTTTACATGACAACGATGTAGTCAAAAACGGAAAGGTTTTTCCCTTGCGTTAATAGAAAGTTTCACGTATACACGACAACGTTTTCGAAACGATTCGCGTTTACACCATAGACTGTATAAAAACATGGACGTAGTGTCCGTGACGTCACCCGTGGGTTTCCGAAGAGCGTTTTTGAAGCCTAAAGTAGGCGGAGCCGGCCGTCGCCATCTTGGCAGCGCGTCACTCCCGGATAATCGAAAATGGGCAAAGAGGCGGGAGCTGGTTGCTGAAACCACGCCCACCTAGCTCGACGGTGGTGACAGCAGCGGCAATCCACCTGTCACTCAAGTGGCCACGCCCTTAATTATGCAGAAATTTAAGGCTTAATATAATTTAAACGGATGAGTTATAAACAAATTCACCCCCCTCACAGTTGTCATGAAGGGCAAAATTAGCTATATAGACCAAAACCACTTTTTGTAACAGGCTGTAAACACATTTTTTTCTGCTGTAAAGTTGGGCATTTTAACATTGCAGGTCTATGGGTCTGACTCCCTTTTGCAGCCAGCCTCTAGCGGCCAGTCGATGAATCACCTTGTTAGTAAACAGTACCTGTAGGGAAGTGACGATTTTATGTTGTATATGATGCGTGTCCGCTGTTGGTTGTAATATTGGTGAAGTAAATCCACACTTTGCTGAAGAAGCGTTAGCAAACTCTTAAACCGCAACAACAGTACCATGTACCAACAGTACCGGCGCTTGCCTTTAAAATCGACACGTACTGCGCATGTCTACATACCTAACAAGAACAAGAATTCATTTAGTCCTTCTGCAATTAAGTTATTAAGTAACACTAGGTAAGGTTATTTATTTATTGATTACTTATTTTTATTTTATTGTTTAAATGGTATGTTTTACTGTGTTGTGTATGTATGTATTAAACTCAACAAAATGCTAAAATTTTGTTAGAACTAAAACGTTGAAAACAAAGTTATTAAATAACACTAGGTAAGGTTATTTTTTTTATTTTTTTATTCTTTACTACTATGTGTTGTATGTGATGTGGTGGTTGTATTTCTGAGCCTAAGACAAATTTCCCTCAGGGACAATAAAGTGTACCTAACGTAACCTAACCTAACACGTACTATGCATGCGCATGACGTCACCATTTTCAAAGATTCCCGTTTTGGGTGTTTACACGGAAACGATAACGGTGGCGTTTTCAAAAACTTGCACTTTGTCGTGTAAACGGCCCCTGAATCTACAGCACATTAACATACAGCACGAAACGTGAGGTATGAATCCCGAGCAAATGATTCTTAAGAACCTTTTCAGTGAAACAAAAACATACAGCACGGTCAGTGTAATCCAATTCTCACACAAATGACTCTGAATCATAACATACAGCAAAACCAATGCAATCTCATTCCCAAACAAATGAGTCTCATGAGCATGTTTCTGTTTAGTGATTTGAAAACATACAGTGGGACTGGAGTAATCTGATTCCCATACAAACAACTCTTATTAGCAATTCTTTTTGATTCATGAACAAATGACTCTTATGAACCAGTTTCTTTTTAGTGAATCAAAAGCAAACCGTGCTGCCAGTTTAATCCGGTTTCCAAACAAATGACTCTTGTGAACCTATTGCTTTTAGTGAATCAGAAACATACAGCATGATTAGTTTAATCTGGTTCCCAAACAAATGACTTTTATGAACTATTTCTTTTTAGTGAGTCAAAAACTTGCGTAATGCGATTCCTAATTATGAACTACTATGAGTCTGTTCTTTTAAGTGAATCAGAAATTTACAGCATGATTAGTATAATCTGGTTCCCAAACAAATGACTTTTATGAACTAATTCTTACATTCAAAAGCATACAGCACAACCAGTGTAATCCAATTTCCACATGAATCAGAAACAGCACGACTTGTGTAATGTGATTCCCAAACAAATTATTCTTATATGAAAAATCAAATGATCCCAAAAATAAAATATGAAAAATCAAATGACTTCTTTTAGTCAGTCAAAAACATACAGCAGAGCCAGTTTAAAATGATTCCCAAACGAATGACTCTAATGAGCTGATTCTTTTTAGTCAATCAAAAAAATAAAGCACAATTTTTGTAATCTGATTCTTATGAACTGGTTTGTTTGAGTACATCAAACACGTACAGTTAACAGTTAATGAATCAAATGATAATGTGTAGTTTAAGACACTTTTTCCCCCCCATAAAGGTATTAAAGTTTTTGCCTTGTTTTTTTGTGGAATCGGAGAATAAAGACAGATGGTGATAGATGAAATCTCAATGTTGTAACTCTAAATTAATTTAGAAAAATAGCATCGGATTCCCCTCCCACCCACTGCTGCAACATTTCAGCAAGATTTGAGCGTGATTACGTAAAGTCACCCTCTTGTTTTGTTAAAAAGTTATCAAATTAAGCAGCAGAATTATACAAATGCTCTGTGCATTTGTGGGATTCATTACGTTCCCATTCCACGATTAGATCTTTCCACAGCATCTTTCAGCGCAGTTGCCGATTCTTGCATCAAAAGGCCTCGTCTCCAGAGTTGTCACTTCATACGGCATGGATGCGGAGGTCGCATACTTCAAAGCCAAAACAACTATCCGTGGTATTTAGTTGAGTCTCAGCGGGATTGTGTTTTCATGTTTGCCCTCACTGACCCGTTTCATTCAGATGCATTGCGGCACACAATCCGTTCCAGCACATTTGGGCTCGTTCCAATCACAACAATGACAAGAGCGCAGGTGACATGAGACTTTAGCGGGAAGGGAACGATATGTTTGGCCCCGAGGCAATCGCAATCTGGAAAAGTGTGTAAAGCAATAGTCTTAGTTATATACATGTGTAAAGCAATAGTCAGGTGTCTGAAAGCCGGTAATGACTTTGAGCGTCTTCAGGCTTGCTCTCGCAGTTTGGTCTTGATTAAAAACCATCGCTGTCATTCATTCAGGTTGAACTGCAAGCCATGCACTGGTCGATGTCCCAAACTGTGTACGGGGGTGAAGACGGTGGACTCGGTCACCGCTGCTCAGGCTCTGCGTGGCTGTACGTTGCTCAACGGCAGTCTGATCATCAAAATCAGCAAAGGAAGTGAGTATTGTGCTCTTTGAAATGGCTCCGCAAGCGGATTGATTGCATTTACGGGCATATTGTCTTTTTTGTTTTCATTATTTTAATCACTATATATTAATGTTGTTAATATTATTTCAAAAATGTTTATGTTTTATTTATACAAAACCATAAAATGATTATTGTGCAAGTTATTTGAACTTTTTCCTGTCTGTAAGCTTTACTTGTTAAAAAAATAAAAAATAGCAATTAATCTAATCTAATCTATATATATACAGTATATATATAATATATATATAATATAATAATTTAACATATTATAACATAAATAAATAAACAACTGAATATAAAAATTAAATAGCTCCAAAAATCAAATAAAATCAAATACATAAAAAATGTATAAAATTATTTTAAATTAATTATTTTATTATTTTAAATAAAAAAATGTAAAGAAAAAACATGTATGTTTATACAATTAATTAATAAATGTTTAGAAATATATTAAAATATTAGATTATAAACGATAATTAGTTTTTACATGCATAGTTATTTTTCATATTTTGTAACATTTAAAAAAAAAAATCTATGTAATATTTATTTTGCCTTAAAATTTTTGTTAGCTTTCAGAATACTAAAGATTGTAATATTTTATTTACACAAAACCGTAAAAATGTTTGTGCAAATTATTTAAACTTCTGTCATTTATTTAAAAAATGATATATTAAAATAATAACAATATATTTTAAATTATTTAAAAATTCATTACCTTAAGTAATTACATAACAGAATATAAAAAAAATTGTCAAATTAATCCAAATACATAAAATATCTATCAAATATGTATTTATATATTTATGAAAATAAAATATTAAATAGTTAACTGTCACAAGTACAATTCAATTATTCAGTTGAGCATTATGATACAAAACTATTTGAAATAAATGAGTGCTATGATAGACCAATCATAGTCATGTAATATTTTTAGCACATACAGTAATATGCATCTAAATATGAAGTGAAGTATGTGAAGTTACCGATGCAAATGAAAACACATCTTGTGTTCCTCAGACAATATCGCGGCCGAGCTGGAGTCTAGTCTGGGTCAGCTGGAGGAGATCACAGGCTATCTGAGCATCCGCAGAGCCCACGCTCTCGTCTCGCTCTCCTTCCTCCGCAAGCTACGTGTCATTCGCGGAGGAACGCTGGAAGCCGAGTGCGTAAGATCCCGCTGCTGAGCTCTAGCGCTGAGCTTACAGCTTACTTAATGTCAGTTTTTGATCTTTGCAGGAACTATTCTTTCTATGCCTTGGACAACCTGAACTTGCGACAGCTGTGGGACTGGAACAAACACAACCTCACCATCCTCAACGGCAAGATGTACTTTGTCCAAAACAGCAAGCTCTGTAAGTCTGAGATCCTCCGGATGGAAGAAGTGACCGGGACCAAGGACAGGAAGAACGACATCAGCATCCCAGCGTATGCAGACCAGACCTACTGTAAGACCCGCAGCGCTTTTGGTTTGAATGCAGCTTGAGCTTTACGTCAAGCCAGGCTTGATAATCCATCCTCTTTTCCAGGTGAAAACCAAGTTCTTAAATTTACGCAAATCCGCACGATCCACAACAAGATCTTCATTAAGTGGAAAGCGTTCTGGCCCTCGGACTTCAGAGACCTGCTGGGATTCATGGTCTTATACAAGGAAGCGTGAGTGTTACCGTTGTTTTAATGTATTATACTTTTATGTATTATTATGGTTTTGAAAAGTCACATTTTTCTTTTTAATTGTTTTGATTTTTCAGTTTCAGTTTTTTTGTAATTTGTACTTTTATTAGTAGTATTTTTTTGTGTGTATGTCTGGAATGTGATTAGTTTTAGTTTTGTTTTTATTTACTTAGTATTTTAATAATAATATTGAAAAATAATGTATATTATTTAATGAACTATACTTAATTAATATAAATGTTCTACATCCTGCTTGTTTAAATTGTATTATTTTTTGTGTATGTTTGGAATATGACTAGCAATAGTTTGTTTTTATTTACTTATTATTTTTAATATTAGTATTAAAATGCTATTTTATATATGATTTATTTAGCTAATTAATATAAATGCCGTTCTATGTCTTGCCTGTTTTTACTTTTGTTTTTAATTACTTAAATTAAAAGTATTAAAATACTATTTTAATTATAAAAATATTATGTTTATTTAATATCATTTGATATTTGATATTATATTTAATTAGAATTAGTTGAAAAATGGTGTTCCATGTTTCATTTTTGTAAACGGCTGTAAAAGCTTAAAAATGCTGTTTTTAAAAGCTTTACATTTGGCTAATAAAATTATTTAATATATTATATATTTATAATTATATTATTAAATTATAATTCATTAATAAAACTGATGTTCTATTTCCTTTTTTTTTTTTTAAACCGCTTTGGATTAGAGAGCATTAAAAATTCTAATTAGTTAATAATATAAGCAGATTATATATTATTATATTTAATTAGAATTTGTTCAAGGTACAGTTGTTGTGTATCCTAGTCATTTTTGCATTTATTACCTTAAACTTGAAATCATTAAAAAAATTGTAATTCTAATTATTATTGGTTAGTAAAATGATCAATTATATAATTACATATTATAATAATTGCTTCAAAGATTGACAATGTAAAACCTAATTATTTTTATGCATATTATTTACATCATTTACATCTTCATTTAAACTGAACAATAGTTAATAAACATAATAAATGTAAAACATTATTTAAATAATAATTCTGAATTTCATACTTTCTAATATTTTTTCTTTATATGTGTGTATATATATTTATGTGTGTGTGTGTTAATTCTTTAATATTAAAATATTAATTACATTTTTCTCAGCTTTTGATTTATTTCTAATCTGCTATACCATTATAATAACTAGTTAAAAACTAATGTGGGAAAGCATTAAAGTACTATCTAACATTGTCTCTCTTCCTGTTTAGTCCTTATAAGAACGTGACTGAATATGACGGGCAGGATGCCTGTGGCTCTAACAGCTGGGCGATCGCAGACGTGGAGCCTCCTGAACGCGGCTCCGAGGGCAAAGGCCAGAGCGAGCCGGGTCTCCTCATCATGCCTCTGAAGCCCTGGACCCAGTACGCCATCATGGTCAAAGCCCAGCTCGCCGCCTCTGACGACCACCTCGTCCGCGGGGCCAAGAGCGAGATCATCTACGTCCGCACCAACGCCACCCGTAAGTCACCGCCGCCTCTGTGCAGAAATGCACAGCAGCCATTTCTTTTCATTATTTTGCTTCTTAAAGAGTTAACTCACCCAAAAATGAAAATCTTGTCATCATGTACTCACCTTCATGTTGTTCCAAACCTGTGCTGAACATAGAAGATATTTTGAAGAATGCTGGTAACCAAACAGTTGATGGTAGCCATTGACTTCCACAGTTAAAAAAAAAAAAGACATTCTATAGAAGTATTTCTCTGTTGTAAAAGCACGTTTTCAAATCATTGTAAATAAACTGCATATTTGAAGTTTTAACAACTACATTTATACATAAAAAAGTGTGTGTGTATGTATATATATATATATATATATATATATATATATAAAATGTGTGTGTGTGTATTATACATGCATAATTTAATAAATACATATAATACAGGTTAAAAAATGCACATTAATTTTATACATATATTTTATATATAAAATAATATGACTGTAATTGTATTAATTGTAATTACATTTTATTGTAAAGTTTTTAATATAAATAATATAGATATACATGCACACACATGCATCTATATGCATAAAATAATGTGTGTGCATGATAGCGCATATTAATTGTATGCATGTAATTGCATTATAATTATAATATTAATTATAATTTAAAACATCTTATATGTAATTTTTTTTATATATGAAATAAAAAAATGCAGTAAACACACATACACTACCGGTCAAAAGTTTGGGATCAGAACGATTTTTTAATGTTTTTTACAGGAGTTTCTTCTGCTCATCAAGGCTGCATTTATTTGATCAAAAATACAGGAAAAGTTAAAAAGAAGAGCATTTATTTAAAATAAAAAACGTTTCTATCAATATACACTATAGTTCAAAAGTTTGGGGTAAGTGAATTTTAATTCTTTCTTTTTTTGAAAGAAATTAAACTTTTATTCAGCAAGGATGTGTTAAATTGTTAAGAAGTGATAGCAAAGATTTATATTGTTAGAAGTTTTGAACTTTCTATTCATCAAAGAATAATGAAAAAATTATCGCAGTTTCCAGAAATTATTGTATGTTGCCAACATTGATAATTCTAATAATAAATCAGCATATTAGAATGATTTCTTAAGGATCATCTGACACTTTATACTGGAGTATTGGCTGATGGAAATTCAGCTTTGCATCACAGAAATAAATGATATTTGAAAGGATATTTATTATTTGTGTGTGGCCAATAAGCAAGTTTCCTCTCAGGTGTTGTCTGTAGCATGATGTGAATGAAATGACTCGTGAAAGCTTGTTATCTGAGAGCGGAAAGCTGAAGCGACATTGTCCTGCTCTGTTTCTGATGTGTAACAGGACCCTCGGTACCTCTGGACCCCATTTCCTGGTCCAACTCCTCCTCCGAGATCATTCTCAAGTGGAAACTGCCCTCCGACCCCAACGGCAATATCACCCACTACTTCGTCTACTGCCAGAAGCAGGAAGAGGATATCACGTACTACAAGTTCGACTACTGCCAGCAAGGTGCTGATCAATGAAAGCTCCTGTAGCAACATAACTGCATAACTGCTTATTAAGTGTACTTCCTCTTTCTCTCTGTTCAGGGATGAAGGTGCCATCCCATACGCCGACACACCACGACATCGAAGAAGACCAGAAGTGGAACCAAACGGACGTGCCCGACCAGAAGGGCCGCTGCTGTGCCTGTCCTAAAACAGAGACGCAGCTGAAGAAAGAGGCCGAAGAGACTGAGTTCCGCAAGACCTTTGAGAACTACCTCCATAATGAAGTGTTTGAACCCAGGTACACAATGCTCGTGGGATGACAAATGTCATATGAAACACCAGAAAACTGATAAATGATAGATGATAAATAATAAAAAGCTGATAAAAATTTTATTTTATTTTATGTTTTAATATGATAGTATTGTTTTTTATTTTATTTTATTTTTTATTTATATATTTTAATTTTTTTTATTTCAATTTCAGTTCATTTTAGTTACATTTTTAGTAATTTTGTTATGTCCTTTTGTTGTTTTTGTGTTTCTTATTTTTTTTAAATATTACTACTTAGGTTTAATTTATTTCAGTTTAGTTTTTATTTCAATAGGATTAGTTATAAATATCTCCAGTCAATAGATGGCTCTAGTGTTAAATGGGTTCTTACTGAGCTTTTGAACATCAAGGGTCTATAGCACCATCTTCTGGTTAATTGGTTAATTGCTTTGCATGGGCCACATTGCAGCTTGACCTGTCCAAGATTGTTTATATTTATATTTTATTCATATTTATGTTATATTTATGATTTAGCTTTAGTTCGGTATTAGTTTTTATTTATATAATAATTTATACATATGTATTATAGTAAATGGAAAAAAACCTAAATAAGTATAAAAACAATAGGTGTAATTTAAGTAAAATTCTGCAAATAAAATGCGGCATCTTTATCCAATTAATCAAAGAAACAATCAGATGACAAAATGAATTATCACAGCACTGGAATCAAAAGTATAACATTTACATGATGTTTTCAATTAATGTTTTATAGTCTTCAATTTTACATTAAAATATAAAAATATAATCTTGGAAATAAAATACATAACATATTTACATGAATTATTTTCGTAAATTTTTACAGTCTTCAATTTTACATTAAAATATAAAAATATAATCTTGGAAATAAAATACATAACATATTTACATGAATTATTTTCGTAAATTTTTACAGTCTTCAATTTTACATTAAAATATAAAAATATAATCTTGGAAATAAAATACATAACATTTACATAAATTATTTTAGTTAATTTTTACAGTCTTCAGTTTTACATTAAAATATATATATTTTTAAAAACATTGGAATGTACAACATGTTTAAATGATTTTTGTGTAAATGTTTAGTCTTTAATTATACATAAAAATTTTATATGTGTATATATATATATATATATATATATACACACACACACACACACATGTATATAATGGAAATAAAATTTGTCATTTTTATGTTGTTAATCAAAGAAATAACGTTTACATTTATTTTTTATTTAATTTTTTATAGTCTTCAATTTTACATTTCAAGCTGAGAAAAAAAAAGTAGCATCTTATAAAAAATTGGCAGCTTTATGCAATTGATCAAATAAATAATAAACTGACTAAATGGTTATCAGAATAGTTGTTGGCCTCAGCAATGAAATGAATAGTATAGCATATATTTACTACTACTACTTATCAAAGACAGACCTCGTTCCTAAACATTTCCCATCATTCTCTGTGGCAGAAGTGATAAGATAATGCACAAATAAAGCATCATTTACACACATTATCTACTCTTTATTATGTAGCCTTAGAACTGAAATCATTAGGGTATTTTTGCTCCATCCGCTCCAAATGAAACTCTGAAAGACTGAAAGTCTTCACTGTCAATCCACAGACCCCACCGACGGCGGCGCTCAGTTGGTGTGGCCAATGCGACTTTGCCGAATTTTGTGAGCACATCGTCCAGCCTGCCCAACTTTTCCACCACTTCGAGCCCAGAGAAGGAAAAGAGTCAGAAGATGGTGTTCAAAGCCAACTCCAAAGAGTTCATGGTCATCCCCAACCTGGTCCACTTCACCAGCTACCAGATCGAGATCCAGGCCTGCAACCATCCCACGGATCCAAACCGCTGCAGCATGCCGACATACGTCAACGCCCGCACGCTGCCTGAACGTAAGACTGCCACACCACTCTTTTCTATTGTTTTGGTTTGAATTCACATTCTAATGTGTCGACTTTCTGTTTGTGTTCTTAGTAAAAGCTGACAACATTGTCGGGCCAGTGACTCACGAATTTTTTCCCGATGAACCGGAATTTGTCTACATCAAATGGCAGGAGCCGAAAGCGCCCAATGGCATGATCATACTGTATGAAGTCAAATACATGAGGATGTCGGATAACTATGTAGGTGTTTAATTAATTCGAAGAAATTCACATATATTAATATGTATATATTTTAGCTTTTATATTATTATTTTTACAGTATTTATCTGTAGATTGTTGAGTAAATATTTGTATATATTTAAACATTTATACTTTTAGATATTGAAAAATGCAGACTAGGGGTGTGCCATATCATACCGTCCACGATAATACTGGTATAATTATACATTCCCTAGCGCACAACAACAACAACACCACCACCACAAACCCAATAGGTGTGTTCGACTTGAAGCAGCGCTGCGCAGACTGATCGGTGTATGACATCAATGTATTGCGAGAGCGGTTCTAGAGCATATTCGAGTGCACACTCTTACCTTCAAAAATAGGCGAGGCGCATATCTTTAGCGAAGCGGCACAGAGAGCCGCTTCTGGGACGCTTCTGAAACGTGCTGCGGCTCCGCTGGTGTAAACACAAGCATTGACTAGAGTGGCCGCGTCGGAGACGTAAAGGCCTGGGTATACGTCACATTCCGCGTTCCGTTCCATCTCGCTCACAGCCGCGTCCGCACTACTTTCAAAGTATACTCAACCGCTGATGAGCGCGGACGGACGAGCTCGACACATATGCGCAGTACCACCTACTCTTGTCTCAACATTCACCTCGCGCATACGCTGTTGTATGCGCACCGTCCGCGCGGTCTCAAAAAATTGCCTGCACACGGACGGGGTGACAATAGATTTACACTTCAAATTAGGTAGTCTGTCATCGATGACAGTAGCTCATTGGAAAAGGATGGAAAATGCCCTTCATTTTGTTTGCACTAATAAATGCTGCTGCCTGCCAGCTGCAATCACCAATAAACGTTGTTTCATGTTTTTTTTTTCCTATATCGTCATAAATATCGTTATCGCAAATATTCTTGAAATATCGTGATATAATTTTGAGGCTATATTGCCCACTCCTAATGCAGACGAAAATGTATACAATAATTAAATATTTATTAATTTATATTTTTGAAAATATTTTAACAAATATTTTAGATATGTAAAAATTTTAAATATATCTAATACCATATCTAATATGTACTGTATATATACACCTAAAATATTTATGTATTAAAAATATGTATTTTAAAAATATATGTATTTAAAATATTACACAATTATATATTTTAACAAATTATATATATTGTTCAAAGAGGTGTATATATTTTTCTTTATTATTATTTTTTTTGTCCCTCAGGAGGATCAAGTCTGTGTGTCCAGAATCACTTATGAAAAAAATCATGGCTATCGATTACGAGTAGGGCATCCTGGGAATTACAGTGTGAGAATACGTGCCACTTCACTGGCCAGCAACGGTTCCTGGACAGAGCCTGCATACTTTTTTGTTCAAGACAGTAAGTTCACTTCACTGTATTTATTACATTTTTACTGTAATTTTGGCCACTATGGTCTCTAATGTACTTGTTTTACAGGGGATATGAACATGAAAATCATCATTGGCCCACTCATCTGCTTCATTGTACTGCTGTTTCTGGCCAGCACAGTCTTCATTGTCCTTAGGAAGAAGTATGTGTTAGACACTCTTAAATTAAGTCTATTTTTCATCTAGACAATGCTATCATGTATAAATATATTTTCTCTCAGACAAACTGAAGGACCGACTGGCCCACTGATTGCTTCCTCAAACCCAGAATATATAAGTGCAAATGATGGTAAGATATCTTTTTAGGTGATTTTAAAGATTGTGAACTAATGTCATTATCAGTAAGTTTGTCTAAATAAAATAAGAATAAATAAAACAAAATCCTGTAAATAAAATTTGGCATCTTTATCTAATTAATCAAAGAAATAATCCATTGCCAAAAAAAAAACCTATCAAAGCACTGGAATGAAGTGTGTGTGTGTGTGTATATATATATATATATTTAGTTATATAGTTATATAGTTGCAGCAATGGAATAAAAATGATAGCATATTTACTCTTTTTGTTGTTTTATAGCTTTCGATTTGCGTATTTTTTGTTGGAAAGCAAAAAATACAATATTATTATTAAAATTGGAAAATTTAAATTTGTGTATTTATAGTGTACATCCCAGACGAATGGGAGGTGCCTCGGGAGAAGATCAGTGTTATGAGAGAGCTCGGTCAGGGATCATTCGGAATGGTGTATGAAGGCATCGCTAAAGACATTGTGAAGGGCGAACCAGAGACGCGAGTGGCTGTTAAAACCGTCAACGAGTCGGCGAGCCTGCGTGAGAGAATCGAGTTCCTCAATGAGGCTTCGGTCATGAAAGCTTTTACCTGCCATCACGTGGTGAGTGTGGATAACCTGGCGAACCAAAATAATCAAGGCAGAAACAACCTTGTCTAAATGTTCAACTTTTAAAAAATGTTTGTCTAGGTCCGCTTGCTCGGTGTGGTATCTAAGGGGCAACCGACATTGGTCGTCATGGAACTGATGACACACGGAGATCTGAAAAGCTACCTGCGTAGCTTGAGACCTGATTCTGAGGTAAGTCTTCATGTTCCTGATGTATAATGACCCCAATCGTTCTATCCCGGACGAGCCCCCAATTTCATTGCACCTGAGGACTTTATAACAGTAAAATGGACCAAATGCTGTCATTTGATGTTAAATAATCCAGTTTTCAGGCTTGAGACCTGATTCTGTGGTAAGTCTTCATGTTCCTGATGTAGAATGACCCCAATCCCCAATTGTTCTATCCCGCACGAGCCCCCAATTTCATTGCACCTGAGGACATTATAACAGTAAAATGGACCAAATGCTGTCATTTGATGTTAAATAATCCAGTTTTCCTTCATTTTAAATATATCAGTCTATGAAACATCACAATCAATAGTTAACAGTAGCCTGTAGCTGTGATTATTGATTTCAATCGATGTTTTAACAGAATAACCCAGGTCGTCCACCACCAACCCTGAAGGAGATGATCCAAATGGCAGCGGAGATAGCAGATGGCATGGCATACCTCAACGCTAAGAAGTTCGTCCACAGAGACCTTGCTGCCAGAAACTGCATGGTGGCTGAAGATCTCACTGTGAAAATTGGAGGTAAGAAGACCAGAATGGAGCATATTTAGTGTGAAACTCGGGATTCGAAGGACAAAAAATCTTGATTTATTTTTTATTGTTGCAGATTTTGGTATGACGCGAGACATCTATGAGACTGATTACTATCGCAAGGGCGGGAAGGGCTTATTGCCTGTCAGATGGATGGCACCAGAGTCCCTAAAAGATGGCATTTTCACCGCTCACTCGGATTGCTGGTGGGTATTTCTCTGGGTTTCTTTGGAATTTTTTGCTAACCCGGTGTCTAGAAAAACGTTCAGATCCCTCACAACAAACTAGTCGAGAAGTGCTTTGGTCCTGTTGGGTGTCCAATCCTGTTTTTGGAAGGCCACTGTCCTGCAGAGTTCTGAACCAGTTAATTAAGGTCTTCTGGATTACTAGAAACTTCCAGGCAAGTGTGTTGAAGCTGGTTGGAGTCTGCTGGACATTGACCCTCCAGGAGCAGGATTGGACATTTTTGGTTCCACCAAAATGAACGCATATGTGGACAGTCCCAGCCTATTGAGCTGGCAGTGCTGTAATAAAAATCTGCTGACTTTTAGGTCTTTTGGAGTGGTATTATGGGAGATCAGCACACTTGCTGAGCAGCCTTACCAAGGACTGTCCAATGAGCAAGTGCTCAAGTTTGTCATGGATGGAGGATACCTGGACAGGCCAGATAACTGTCCAGAGAGAATGTAAGTACCGACATAGAAATAAATCTTGTTGAAAAGACCATAATAGATCATTGGTATATCCATATACCAAGCCTCTGCTTGGAGAATGAGGTTTAGGTGGTTTAAGATTGTCTTCTCTTGCTCTAACTCTTCTCCCAGGCACAACCTCATGCAGATGTGTTGGCAGTACAACCCGAAGATGCGGCCCACTTTCCTTGAGATCATCGAGATGATCAAGGAGGACCTGCATCCCACTTTCCAAGAGGTCTCCTTCTTCTACAGCGAGGAGAACAAACCGCCCGAGAGCGAGGAGTTTGACATGGACTTCGAGAACATGGAGAGCATACCACTGGACCCCTCATCCTATTCCCAGCGTGAGGAGAGCCTCAGTAGAGACAACGGCCCCTCTGTGGGCCTACGGGGCAATTACGAGGAGCACGTGCCCTACACGCATATGAACGGTGGAAAGAAAAATGGCCGAATTCTGTCTTTACCCAGATCTAGTCCGTCCTAACATTTGCCTCTGCTTTTTCTCTCTCAATTTTTTAAAGTAAAGTTTTTAAATGCATTATTTTTGCAGAGGCCCTTAAAGATACAGATCTCAGGTCTTTTTTGTTTGTCGTTGTTGTTGTTGTTATTGTTTCCATCTCACAGCTACACTAGTATGGTTACAACGAAAACGGACGTTATATCGCCCATCATCTGATGCACCATTCGCTTTCTGACACTTTTACACTTTTGCCAAGTTGGGCAGTGGGGAAAAGCAAACTGTGAACATGACTAAATCAACTAGAAAAGCTGCTTCGGCTAGGTCACCTCAAAGTCCACTTCCTTCTCCTTTGGATGCTTATTTCCTGTCTCTCGCTCTCTCTCTTTCGTTTTTTTTCTTTTTTTTTTTTTAAGTGGAAATCTTTTAAGATAGTGGCCTTTTTTTAAGTGGCCTATAAAAAGAGAAGTGTCTATCAATGCTTGTGTTGATTTCTTTAGAACAACGACTTTACAGTGTGGAACTATGGGATGGCTTATATTCTTTTAGAACAAACCTTTGTTTTGTAGAGGAATGATTTTTATTTTGTCCTGGAGAATTCCTAAATTCACTTAGATGATGTTCACATGGTGTTCTGGTGAATGAGGTTTAATTTATTTGCTTTCTGTTCTTTTTTTTTTCCTCTGAGCTTTTTTCTCCTGTCCTTTTTACCGGCTGAAGGATATTTAACAGTTATGAATTGGACAAAGGAGTTAATCAGACTGACCAATAGCTGCTGCTCTGATATATAGTGGGTATTCAAATGTATATATATATAGAGAGAGAATATTTAAATATTGATTTGTATCAGTATTTTAAATATAATATTCACAACATCTGAACTTTTGTACATAATTCTAAAGTCTTTTTCTAATGTCTTCATTGGCTTTGCTTATGCAATATTTTTTGCAACAATGTCTTTTCATGAGCTGTTTTTTTTTTTTGTCTAATGTCGCATTAATTAACATGCAAGTTGACTCACAGTGATATTCCAGCGTACAGTGGGTAGCATTTTTGGTTTAGCCTAAATTCAAATGATCAAAATGACAATTTCATTTCGGAATAATGAATAATAATAATAATAATAATGAAATATTATTATTGTTAATATTATTTAAAAATAGAAATATTTGATTGCTCAATTCAAGGGAATATACGTTCCAATTTCCTGTCATAAATTGGATTTTTGTTGGACGTTCTTCAGTTAAATTTTGGGATTCCGATAGCTGTTTTGGAGAATGTTTTGGGAATGTTTCGGAGCATTTTCTTCCGTGGGATATGAAAGGTTGTTTTTGGCTCAATTTACTATTTACCTGATTTTTCAGGGGGATTTAGGATCTTATTGTGAGAGATAAGCTCTACCTAGGGGATTCTAGGTTCTTTGTTTTTTGACAGCAGAAATATTCGACCTGGCAATATTTGAATCAGATCAAAAAACATTCCTGTAATTTAGCCCCGATCAGGCTCCGGTACCTGTTAAAGTATCAAAAGTGAGGGTAGATCTCGCACGGCTTCGCTTAATAATGGCATTTACGCTCTAGTTCTGAGAAAGGGAAGTCTTAGAAGACCACAGGGAAAGTAAACTTCTTCCTCTGTCAGAATGACGCCGCTTTTTCCCAAATAATCCTTTAAAGAAAAACAGCAGACAGCTTTCATAGGCAGATGCATAATTACATTTTTACTGGATCTTGCTTGTCGTCATCAAAAAATGTGCACATTTCATGTATGTGCGTGTATATTTGTGCATGTATATTTATTCGTGGGTAGTTTGGGAGGGAAGCAACAGAACGAGGCTGAAATTCACGCAAGCTTTTTTAAGTGTTTTTGCCATTTCATGTTTTTTTTCCCTGATCTTTCTCGCATTTTTGTACCGTAGGCTGATAAAAAAAAAAATTCCCTTTCTTGGTCCCATTGGCTTTATCTTAGATGTACATAACAGAATCGAAGAAATCAAACTAGCTTGTAGCTGTTTGAAAACTATTGCAAAGAAAGTCAGTTTTTTTCCTGTAAAATGGAGCAGACGTCAGATTTTTTGTTTTCCTAAATAACAAGATTACCATATCTTTGAAAAGGCAAATATTGATATTTTATTTATTTTATGATCCTCATAATTATGTAAATCCCTGCTAGCTTTTATTACAATACTCTAAGGCGGGTAAAACTAGTCGTTTAGTTGTTTATTTTTTGTTTAAAGAGAGATACAGCTGGCGAGTTCGCAAACGCAGTTGGTTTAGTGCTAATGTCTTTCTGTTGGTTGTTTGGACACAGTCTACCTCAGTATATTTTTAGAAATTTTTTAGAGCCAAGTGCATCTCTCTTTAGTTTTTCGAATTTCTTTAACAGCAAAAACCATGTCCGCAATCCCAAATTCGGCCACTAGAGGTTCTCTCTCGCAACGATTATGGATCACTCCCCTTGTTCCCCTTTATTCGATTTTGATTTTGGAGAAAGCTTATAACCCAAAGATTCACTTTAATGGGTGACGTCTGTCTTTTGAATCATTTGAAATACGCAGTGCCAGTTTCGTTGCGAAAAATTAGATAAAATGAAAGTTTATCCTGAAGTATTACTAAAGTACAACGTTAAAAGACGCCTATAGCATGAAGTGTGTGGGAAAAACTGGTTTTTATTTTACGGTACATTGTTTGGCTCTGCTAATCTGAATGAGGTATTACAGCATTTTATTACATGAAGCACTTATTTGAATTATACAAAAAATTTCGTAAAGCCACTTGTCATTAATTCGCAAACATTGTATGTTTTCTGTGATTTAAACTCAATTTAACCTTTCAAGTCACTTCCTGAGAGACTACTGAATCACAGTTTGTTGCGCAAAAATGCCCACGAAACATTATGCGATGCTTTTTTATTGGCTAGTTACAATGGGTGTACAACCATTTGTGATACACTTGGTGAAACAGCTCTTCTTCACTCACTGCGGTATCTCACCAAACAAACTTTCTAATGCCCCGAGTTCAGTAGTTTCACATACAAAAACTTTGTACACTGTTTTTTTTTATGGTTTGTTTGCACCAAATGTGATTGTCAATGTCTTTTTTTTGTTCCATGTGTATTCTACTGTGAAAAAAAAAATTCTATCAATGCCATAGTTTATAGTAAACACGGACTTCACCTGCCTCTCCTTACACATGCGTTCATAAATACTCTTGCGGACAATCCTATGTGCCATAGAAACGTTTTCTTTTCCTCAGGGAGATGTGAGCGTTGGGTTTCGTTTATCGGAGGAGCATCAATTTTATCCCCTGCTAGCTTAATCGTACGAGAAAAATGGATGGACAACTGCAAAAACGATGTCTTTGGATGCCAGTCGTCCATCTCTAAAGCATTTCGCATCTTTCGTTGCCTCTCCAATGTGTTTCGGGGAATTAATTGAGCGCCCCCTGGTGGATCCATAGTGCCTTGCACAAACCTAAGTATCCTCCAAGCCAAACCTGGCCAACAAACTCCCTGGACCGGATTGTTTTTCCCCCAACATCCTCAAAATACTGGAGCCTATTGTACAGATTTCTCGACAGGTTAGCACATCTTTGGTAAATGCTTGGCTCGGTTTTACTGTATTGGTGTATGTGAATGATATTCTTTTATTTTAATTTTTAATTAAGCTGAACTTGTCTCTTCTTGGATATGCTACAGCTTGCTTTGTGCGCTTGACGAACATCGTACGATTGATTCACTGTTACCCAAACAACAACTTTGGCAGCTCCCAGTGTAAAAGTCTAAATTGAGAGAATTTAATTTTGATAAATGACCTTAAATAGTTGTAGTAACAAAAACCCAAATGCAGTTTTCTACAGCAAGCTAAAAAAGCAGAACAGGTCGAGCGCAAGGCATTGTATGTATTTTGTTGTTTTTAAAAGGAAAAAGTATTACACTTAGAGATATTAATTTCTATTTTTTTAGTCAAAATAGGGAGGGCAAATTCAATTACTTTTTTGACTGTAAACTTTTACTATTCATGTACATTACGGAATTAACATGATCAATGTATATAGCTTTCTTTTCGATAAAAGTGTGATGTCTTTTGTTCATGGCATTACACTGTGATTCAGAGATATAAAAGACATCGATTTTACTCTCCAAACTGATCGGATGACGAACTGTTCGGGTTTTTGGCCTACAATGACATTCTTTGTACGACGTTGCATTGTTTGAGGCATTACACTGTGATTCAGAGATATAAAAGACATCGATTTTACTCTCCAAACTGATCGGATGACGAACTGTTCGAGTTTTTGGCCTACAATGACATTCTTTGTACGACGTTGCATTGTTTGATTTTTTTTTTTTCATGTACAACTACTTGTTTGCCATCCAAAAAATGATGGCATATCCTTTGTCAGCATTTTGTATTTGTAAATTGTTACCCCTTTCTTTGTACGATACAGAAAATTCCTCTACATGGCGATTCATAAAGGTGACCGTTTGAATAAACAATTGTTTTTCAATGTGAAAAACTGGAAAAGACCACTGCAGACTTTATTATAAGCTACAATCACGCAAAAATAAAGGTATAGTTGACATCTGAAACGATAACTTATACAAATAGGTTACTATGGAGCTTGTTTCTGCTACGAGACACAAAAATTAAACTTATCTCACAATTCTGACTTATTTTCTCGCAATTCTGAAACAAATTCACAAAAATCACAATTGCAAGAAAAATGTCAGAATTGAGAGACAAACTCACTATTCTGATAAAAAATTAAATTCTGAGAAAATACAAGAAAAAAGAATTGCGAGGTATTAACTTGCAATTGCGAGGGAAAAAAAGTCAGAATTGTGAGATTAAACTCAGATTTGCGAGTTTCTGAGAAGAAGATTTGGAACGGTGAGAAACTCTTAATTGTAAAAAAAAAAAAAAAAAAAAAGTCACAATTGTGAGATGAAATAAATAGTTTTTGTTTTGTGTGGCAGAAAAAAACTGAATTGCGAGATGTAAACGCAGAATTCAGAGGAGAAAGTCAAAATTGTGAGATATAAACAAAATTACAGGATTTAAACTTGAAATTGTTAAAAAATAAATACATTTTAAAAAAGTCAGAATTCTAAGTCTGCATCTCGTGATTGTGACATTTTTTTTTTACAATTGCACAAAAAAGATTGAAAATTGAATGGAATAAAAAGTTGCAATTGTATTTTATACTGTGGCGGAGACGGGCTTCCATAGGTTACAGAGAACAAATCTGGTTAAAAATCATCATGTCAGCCCCAGTTACAGCAGCAAATCCAGTTTTGTTAATATTGAATGTTTATTTCTTGTGTAAATCTGTCATCTTTTTCGGGGCTTACACATGATAGACACGTTTCAGGTGGTCCGACCTGTTTATACGTCAAATAATCAGCACCCTTGTGTATTTTTTTCTCCAACTGTTGTCTTGTACAATTTTCTGTTTAGTTGAACATTTGATCATTTTGTTTGTTTCGTTTTGTTTGTTTGCTGTGTTTTGTTTTTCCTCTGTGCACATAGAAGATCCTCACGGCTGTTTTTCTGCCCCATCATGCACCTGTATTGTAGAAATTTTTGTTTAATCATCAGCACACACTGTCTCATCAAAACTTTCCCCTCGCTTGTTGATTTTGTGCCGTTGCGTGTGGAAACCATGTCACTTATTTAAACAAACCAACAAATCCATCTGTCCAGGATCAAACTGTGTCATGGTAAACTAGTACGGATCGACAGTTTTAGTTTTTCAAGGAAAGCCATGCAGTGACGTGTACAGTAAATATTGGAATGAAATGAAAATGAATCTTGCTGTGTGTAAATTATTCAACAATTAACTGTTTATATGAAATTTATGAATTAAAAATTATTGGGGAAAAAATGGCTTGCAGTTGTGTCTGTTGCCAAGATAATGTATAACTTTTGTACATATAAAGAGAGATAAAGGCAAAAGAACAACCAAAATCAAAATTTCTCATTTTATGTTCCACAAAAGACTAATTCATGGAATGACATGAAGGTGAGTAAATTATTTAAATTTAATTTCTTTTAGTAAGTTTTGGATGAGCTGCTATTGAAAAAAAATATTTTTAAACAAACATTATATTTTATACACAATGACAAAATTTAGACAAAATGCCAATAAAAGGTACTGTAATGAAACCAATATTAAATGGTACAACAACATGGTACACAAATTTTCGGCACTTGTGTTAAAACACGTGAATATTTCATATTAAAAACGTTTGGAGAGTTGTAACGTCTTTTATGAATAGATATAATTGTTTCATACTTGTCCCAGAGTAAACTGTGAAAATCTGTTGTAAAAATATGACACAAATTACTAATTTGTGGCTTCATTTTACAACATTTTTCCCCAGTCAACTTTTTTTTTTCCAGTGTCCTCTGTTTCTACTGAAGACAGCAGCGTCAGTGAAGTGCTTGAAATATGAAGAAAAGTCAAAGTAAATATAATTTGTGGACAGTATTTTGTTGAATTATGCAGAAAAGTTAAAAAATTTCATATAAGTGTGTGTATTTGGGATACATAAAATGCTAGCTATAAAATTAGCATTACAAAGACGAAGGAGGTTTTGTTTTGTATAATGATAATGTAATTTCCATCATAATTTCCACAACCGAAGGTCTGATTTGAGATGTGCTGGAGATGACACTAGTGGAAATGATGATTTTTCAGGGACCGAAAAAAGACAATTCTCATATCTCAAGACCAATTAAACGGTGACACTTTACAATAACATCCCATTAGGTAACATTAAAAATTAACCACATTAACTAACATTGAGCAATACATTTGTTACTGTATTTATTAGTCTTTGTTAATGTTTGCTAATAAAAATACAACTTTTTCTGCATAAACTTTTCAGTAATGTATTAGAAAATGTTGACATTAACAAAGATTAATAAATGCTAATAAAAGTCTTTTTCATTGTCAGATCAAACTAACTAGTGAGGGTGTAAAAAAGTGTTTTAAGCAGTGTTATTTTATAGTATTATTTTTGTTATTTCATATTTACACATTTTATTTGGTTTTATCATTTTTATTGATATTTTATATTATATAAAAATACAATTTCTATATAACTCTTTATTTCAGTCGTAATTTTAGTGCACAAACTTATTTTAAAAAATATTTGCCAAGGTAATATTTCTCATTTGCATTTAAGTTTTGTAAATTTAAGATTGAATGTAATATTTCTGTTTCATACTTGTCCCAGAGTAAACTGTGAAAATCTGTTGTAAAAATATGACACAAATTACTAATTTGTGGCTTCATTTTACAACATTTTTCCCCAGTCAACTTTTTTTTTTCCAGTGTCCTCTGTTTCCACTGAAGACAGCAGCGTCAGTGAAGTGCTTGAAATATGAAGAAAAGTCAAAGTAAATATAATTTGTGGACAGTATTTTGTTGAATTATGCAGAAAAGTTAAAAAATTTCATATAAGTGTGTGTATTTGGGATACATAAAATGCTAGCTATAAAATTAGCATTACAAAGACGAAGGAGGTTTTGTTTTGTATAATGATAATGTAATTTCCATCATAATTTCCACAACCGAAGGTCTGATTTGAGATGTGCTGGAGATGACACTAGTGGAAATGATGATTTTTCAGGGACCGAAAAAAGACAATTCTCATATCTCAAGACCAATTAAACGGTGACACTTTACAATAACATCCCATTAGGTAACATTAAAAATTAACCACATTAACTAACATTGAGCAATACATTTGTTACTGTATTTATTAGTCTTTGTTAATGTTTGCTAATAAAAATACAACTTTTTCTGCATAAACTTTTCAGTAATGTATTAGAAAATGTTGACATTAACAAAGATTAATAAATGCTAATAAAAGTCTTTTTCATTGTCAGATCAAACTAACTAGTGAGGGTGTAAAAAAGTGTTTTAAGCAGTGTTATTTTATAGTATTATTTTTGTTATTTCATATTTACACATTTTATTTGGTTTTATCATTTTTATTGATATTTTATATTATATAAAAATACAATTTCTATATAACTCTTTATTTCAGTCGTAATTTTAGTGCACTTAAACTTATTTAAAAAAATATTTGCCAAGGTAATATTTCTCATTTGCATTTAAGTTTTGTAAATTTAAGATTTAATGTAATATTTCTATTTTATTTGTAATTTCAGCTTTTTATTTAAATGACTGAAAACTATTTTTAAATCGTTTCAGTTAACAGTGCTTCAGAGTTTGTCCCAGATAGTGGCCAAAGTTGAAGAGGGTTTTGTCATTTTTATTAGTTTTGCTTTTTAAAAAGTATTTCTGTACAGCTTAATTTTTTTCAGTTTTAGTAGTTTCAGTACTTCAACTTCAACTTATTTTAAGTAGTTGCCAAGGTTAACATTTCCCATTTGTTTACATTTTTCATCAAATGTTTATATTATTTATTCCAGCTTTATTTCAATTAGACAAAACAACTTTTAATAGTTTTAGTTTACAGCAACAACTTTGTTTTAGGGAGTTTGTCTCCCACAGTACCAAAAAAAAATTTCCAAAATTGAAGAAACACCCACATACTGTTGTACTGAATGGTTGTCATATTTATATACGATGGTATTTACATGATCCTCATTTTAGTAAAACCACAAAAAGACACTCAGTTCTGTTATTGAGACAATTTCTCAACATTGTGTTGTCAAAAGTGCAATAC